AGCTTACATCCAAAATCATTCGGGGGGGGGCGGTGTTAGGTAAGTGCTCCTAAGAGAAGAATCCTGCTATACTTCATCTTTGGACCCATTCGTTCATTTTTTAAAAACAGTTGTATGTGCTCAGTTTCTTTTTTGATGTGGTATGTGTTGATGTAAAAGCTCTTGAGGAGGGGGCAGATGAAACATTTCAAATAATACATTTTGACCAGGAGATATATATTTTTCATATGACTTTAGACAGCAAATCTGTCAGTGGTTTTTCTTGAACTAGTACAGCCTGTTCTTTATTGTTCCAGGTCTAACATTTTGTTTCTGACAAGCTGAAATAATTGGCATCACCCAATTGTCAATTAAATTTAAACATTTAAATAGTCTAGTTTAAATATTTTAAATTTATTTAAATATAATAATTTAAATTTGTAAATTAAAAAATGCAAAAAGATAGATATTATTCTTAAATGTTTTAACAAGCTTCCCCTGCCTTGCAAAGCCAGTTCTTTAATCAGAACATAAAAGCGTTTCAAAAACTAGGCATTATTCCCCCAAATGCATTGTCAGGTATAAATGTTTCCTGCTTCAGTTAGGAACTAAGCTCTGATTACAAATTATAGAGGAATATGGGGAAAGAGTAACTTTCAGTGGCCATTGTCTTGGTGGGGAGTCTCTCTTCAGTTTCTCTCTTATTTCCTTCTCCATTTTCGTTGTGATAGTAACACCACAAGGCTGTCATTAAATGATATTCTCAATCTTGTGGACTACACACTACAGTCTAGTGTACAGCTGGAATGCTTTGTTAAACCAGAATAGGGTTAATCTGGACAAAACAGCAATTCAGCTCCAGATTGCAAATCATTTGGTTTTATGTATTTTCCTCTTTTAGTTGTGGTGATCTGCTTAGAGCCAGTTTCTTTCTCCTACCCAAATCTTCTCAGCAGGCTGCCATGCGTACCATAGATGAAATGCAGGGAGATGCATTATTTTGTAGTAAACAGAAATACAAAAGCGTAGGAGGAAGGTATCCAATTTCAAATATTTTATTTAGCTTTTTCTTTAAACTACAGTTACTTTGGGGGCAGTTCCATTAAATATATAGGCAAGAGTTAAATTTCATTTTTCTGATAAAGTATTTCTGAATCATCTTTTTTAATTAAACATTTTTAAACCATCCAAAAGCCAAAGCTCTCTGGGAGATTTACAATACAATACAGTTAAAACATATACAATAAAATCAAATAATATAAAAAATAACGGCACCATGCAAAGTAGGCAGCAGCAAAGCAGTTGTCAAAATCTGAAACAATATGAATTAAAATATAATTAGAATTCGTATCTTCTTTACAATGAGAACATAACACTCCATGTACCAGTTCTCTGTTGCCTATAGCTTTTATTCTGCAATCTCTACTATTATCCAAACCCTCAATAACATGCTGCCCTCACTACCTTTGAGACAAGATGGAGTTACTATTTGTACATCAGGGTTTTCTGACAGCTTCAGAATTGTCATTGGGAGGGTGGCCCTGGCCCTGAAAGAGCAGGTCTGTGACTTGGGGACCCTCCTGGACTCATGGGTATTGCTTCGTGGGCAGTAGTAGTTGTGATTGGATGGGTGGGTGGGTGTGCCCAAATTCAGTTTTGGTGTGCCAGTTATGGTCCTACCTGGAGCAGGAAGGCCTCACAACAGCAACATAAGTCATTATCACTAATTGTGTGGACTTCTGCAACGTACAGTGAGTAACATTTGAAGACCACTTGAAAGCTTCCGTTGATCAAGAATGCAGCAGTTCTGGTCTTGGTTGTCTCTTGCCACCATGGACCCCCACCATAAACCCATTACAGCCATACAGGTTTTGCAATAGCTCCCCATTAGCTTTGGGTGTAATTCAGAGTTCAAGAGTTATTACATATAAACCCCTACATGGCTTGGCACCAACCTGTTTGCAGGTCTGGCTTCCCCAACTAGAATCAACTGCCTGAACAAACAGAAGAACCTGCTTGTGGTTCCCTTCTTCACAAGGTTTTTCAGAAGTAGTTTGCCATTGCCTCCTAGGGCTGAGAGAGAGCACCTGGCCCAAGGTAGCTTCATGCCTAAGGCGGGACTAGAACTCACAGCCTCCTGATTTCTAGCCTGGTGCCTTAACTACTACACCAAACTGACTTCTCTAACCACCTTATAGTATGATGCTGGGAGTATCCCACTAATAACTTTAGTCATAGCATTGGCATAGGCAATATTTGTGAGCTGCTGGATGCATTTAAATTGGGGGGGGGAGCATGTTTTGGGTGTCTTCACAAAAAGGGCTGCCATGAGAGATGTGGCCAGTCACAAAATCCATTTACAGAATGCAGACTGAAAAAGTTGCTTAACGTTGCACAACTCCCCACTCCCAGGGTACTATCTACTATCCTATTTTAACTTTTCTTTCTTTTGCTCTTTCTTTCTTCAAACAACCCTGGCTTGCATTTTTATGCCCAAAACATGAGGCTGTGTGAGCCCATGGTCATACTTATAAAGATGACCCTTCAAAAAAAAAAAATTAAAAGAATATTTAAAATATTAAGTCAGGTTGGGCAGGGAGCCTGATGAAGGCCATGGAAGGTTCTGGAGGCATTATGCTGTTTTATCTCTAACTACAGTACATCTCTTCCTTTCCTTCTCTCTTCAGGCCCTTTCATGAATCGATCTATGAATGTTTACATCTCTGTCTAACACAGGGTAATGTGTAGCCTTGCAGTTATTAGTATTCCCATCTTCCCTAGCTAATATGGCCATTGGTGAGGAAAGGTGGAAATTGTAGTCCATCAAGTGTGAGCCCAAGAGGGTCACACTTGGTCAGTAATATAGACAGCAGAAAAGACAAGTATATATACTGATAAATGTAGCAATTTGGTTTAACAATAGAGGAGATTAAAATAGATTTTTTTCTTGATTTTGTCCTGTATGATTAAATGTCATAGCTCCGGTCCTTCCCTATGACCATGGATTGTATTCCACAAATGTTTTCATTGTCTCTCAGTTTCCGGTGCTGAGCAATAAATTATATCAAAGCAATAATCTTAAGGGACACATTTGTAATAATCTAGAATGTTCCTGCCTTAACAAGGAAGTAGTTCAAAGTAATTAATTATTTCTTGCAGGCCTTAGAAACTATTTTGAAGTACTCAGTGGTATTTCTTGTGATTGAACAGTGGCCTTGAGTCTTTAAAATCCAATCAGGTACTACTAGTTTCTTTGTGAGAAAAGCATGCCAGAGAGAACTTACCAAAATAGTTTTTGCTACTTTTGTGTCCACGCTTAGAAGTGAGTTTTGAAGATTCATCTTCATATCAGTCTATGGAACACTTCAGATATTTCAACCTCATGGTCTACAGATATTTGGAACTTCCAAAATTTCTGGTTACAGTTGCCAGTGGCTAGAAATGAATGGATAGACCTAGAAGGGGCCATTTAGGCAAGATTCCAAATTAAAGCATCCTCAACAGATCCTCTGAAGGGAAAGTCACCATCTCCCTCAGTAACAGATTTCACTGTTGAATTGCTCACCCCAGTAGGGAATTATAGTCCTAATACAAATAGAAGACATTAGGTTGAGAAATGTTAATCTCCAAGATACAATATTCAGCCAAGAGAAATTCACCTGTGTTCCAATGAGTATTTAAGGAAGCCCTGTGCAGATACCCATCCACTAGGGTTTGTTTATTGCTGTTGTAGTAGTAGTTTTGATGCCTCACTCACTATTTCAACATATTTATTTATTTAAAAAATTAAAGGGCTCCATCTGAAATACATAATTCTGGGTGACTAACACAAACACAATAAATACAGAAAGAACCCCATAAGTTAAAATGGTTCAGTACAAATAAAAAAGATCAGGCAACATATAACTTATTCACAAATGAACATTTCCTATATGGCAAGCATTACAAAAATGTTTGTACTAAAAGCTTCAGGAAACAGTGCCCATGCGTGTCTATGCCCTGACTTTGGCTTAGCATATAAAATTAGAAAATGGTCTAGGTAACAACATCATTGCAATCTATATCAATATCACCTGATTTTGATCAGTGACCAGATCATACACATGCACACTCTACTTGATTAGCATAAAACAACTTTAAATCAAAAATCACAACACAAATTAAGTTCAGATACACAGTTAAAAGAAATTAGGGAAACTTCCTTGTGGCCATCAAATGGCAGCAATAGGTTTTTCTTTTCTAATTGAACAGGCGGATACACAAACATTTGCCATCTTTATGTATATCTGAACTGGCAACAAAAGAGTAGATTACAAATCTTGGTAACAGTGAGAAGATCTTAAAATTAGGTTGATGAGAGAGTGTTGTATATCTTTATAGCATACACATCTTAGGAGGACGTGTTCTAATGTAACAGCAAACTCTCTTGCAATATTGACTTTTCCTATATATCCCAAATAGAACTGCTGTGGGTAAAGTATTGCTGGCCTCTTCTAAAATTGGGAATTTTTACATTGAATAGATAGTATGTTGGCTTCAGGGAACAATTGATTCTACCCAAAGTAACTTGGAACCAGTGAGACAACCAGTTGGTGGTCTATATCTTTATTCTTTGCTTGAAAGTGGTTCTGGCACTCTCTAATATTAGTGCCAAAGGTTAATTACTTGATAGAACCATCTTCCAAGCCAGAACATAATCTGTGTTCTAATTTAAGAACACAGTCCTTCCACTTTGTATCCACTAGCACAGGTTATTCCTCTGCATGCAGAGAGGTAGATGTGAGGCTCCAGTGCATGATCTAGGAATGCTTGTGCCATCTTTGTTGAAACTAACCCAGCTGGTTCCAAATGGGAACCTAATTAGTGAAAGTCCTCATAACCATCCTAAAGCTAGAATTCTATACATAATTTTCCAGGGGTAAGCTTTATCGATCTCATTGGGGCTTACTTCTCTGTGTGCTATAAAGTATGAATTAAAATTCTAATTAAATCATTGGACAATAAGCTATAAATACTTGCATTAAGCAGCATCAGTTTACCATTATAAAGCCAAAGCACATTAGTACAGGTTCAGATGAAGTTTATTGTTTAGGTGAGTCCACTAGTACTATTTTAACATTTATGCTCATTTGGTTCCAGGTATACGTCCACAAATAATGAATGGCCCTTTGCATCCTCGTCCATTGGTGGCTTTACTAGATGGAAGGGATTGTACAGTGGAGATGCCTATTTTGAAGGACTTGGCTACTGTTGCATTCTGTGATGCTCAATCTACTCAGGAAATACATGAAAAGGTATTTATTATCATTTCAATTTCAAGGCCACCTGACTCCCTAGTGACCCTGGGCAACTTACAGATAAAAATTGAAAAACAAAACCAACGTACATCGTGGGGGAAGTGGGGGAGGAAGATAACTGACAAGAGACATAACCCCATAAAGCCAAATAGCAAAAAAAAAAAACCACCAACCACCAAAGGGCTCAACTGCCATCCTAGCCTAAGACCTGGAAAACACCAGATCTTAAGCAGTTTGCAGAAATCGAAAGGGTGGGATCTGTACAAATCTTGGGGAGGATGTCATTCTACAGACAGGAGTCATCACCAAAGATGACACTGCTTAATTAACGTGCCCACTCTTGTTGATCACCCCAGACAGGCAGAGATATATGTAGACAGGCAGTCCCTCAAGTAAGCAGGCTCTATGCCATTCGGGCTATAGGTGATAACTAGCACCTTGAATGCACCTAGAAGCCAACTGGCAATCAGGGCAGCTCACAAAACAACAGGGACACCTGCACATGCATAAACAACATGCCCATTATGGCTGCCCCTGCTGCACTCTGGACCAGCTGTAGCTTCCGAGTGGTCTTCGTGGAGTGCATTACAGTAATCCAATCAAGATGTAACCAAGGCATGAGTAAACTGTCTGAAGACCCAATCTAGGAACAGGCACAACTGGCATACAAGATGAGCCTTGTAAAGGAAATGTTGTGCTCTGCAAACTAACATGCAAAGAAGGACATCCTGTATTTAACAACAATTCAACTTTTTCTTGGGAAAATTTCTTGGGATAATTACATTTGTACCTGTGGTTCCCAATCATTTCTTTTATGTAGACCATTATATCATCAAAACCATATGAACCACCAGGTACAGAACCATTGATTTGTGTACCTGGATTGGTTAATATTTTATGGTTGAGAGATGCCGCAAGTTGTAGTTCAATAATACTCACTGGAGTACACCAGAAGATGGGGAAAAGGAGGCTGCAGCCAGACCCTTGCACCATGTTGATTCCCGTTTGTGGATAGGAGTGGATGGAGAAAGCACAGAAGAGTGTAGAAGACAAAGGAAAAGCCTGTTCTAAGAAAAGATGGGCTAATATGGGAGTGAACTCCATTCCAGCCTATGCGCTTTGGCATATTCTGTCAATTTTTTTAGAAATAAAGTATTTATTTTTTATATAAGAACAACAAAACATATTGTCTGAAAATACAACTAAATGGGATATCCTACTTTATATAAAATAGATTCTATAATTAATATACACGCTTGAAAGTAAGTCTGAATGCTAAGCCACGTTTAACCACGTTATTTTATTTTTATTTATTTTTATTTTATTATTTTACTTTGATATGATTTTATTCTGTTATTATATTATTTTAAATAATAATACTGTTATTTTATTTTAATTGTTGTATGCCGCCCAGAGTTGCTCTGGGTGAGATGGGCGGCTATAAAAATGTGATGTATAAATAAATATCAAAAACTCCACCCATTCCCACCCGTGAATTAACAAATTTGTCCCTAATAATTGTATACATAAATTGCAAATAAACAAGCTTTAGGCAGTAGGAGAAGCTGCATTATCGTCTAGAACTAGCGTACACCACTGACTTCATTATGTTTATTTTAAAACTGATTGGAGTTCCACACTGTATATTGTGTGCTTTTACAAAGAGATTAAGCCGACAAGCCTCGTCTCAGTGCATATCAGGCATATGGAAAGCTCTTGCTAATCTTTATGATCAATTGGATTGGCATTATACGATTAATAGATAATTGTGTATTCTTGGTTTAATTGCATGATTTCTCCACCTTCCTCTCTTTATGCTGATGTTATTTTCTTGATAATCTGTGACGGATATCTTGGATTTGGATTCCTCCATGTAGCAAAAATGTCTTTGATAGATTCTGTATTGGATTTGATAATTAAGTGTGTTGCTGATGAAGCCACAATAAATAATATGATTGTAACAATTGATCTGGCTAGACAGCATTTAAAAATAGATAGGGAATCGGAAAAAGATTAATGCAACCGATCTGCCTGATGCAGGTGGAGTGCTCCTTAAATTGGGTGCATTGGAGAACAATGTAGGAACTAAATAGCATGTGTTCACAAAGTACAGGTTTGGTTATTTTGATTGATTTTCTTACCTGGTGTAAATCAGTAGATGAAAGGAAAAAGAAAGTATTGAATTAGATAAAATATACTTGGATTTCATCTAGACAATAAGTAAGTGCTTTCTAGAAGTGTTGTCAACTTGGCTAAAAACCTTACTAAGTTGATTGGCAAGAATAATTGAAATGAAACCTTGAATCACCTTGAGTTGTGAGAAGTATAAATGTTGTAATAAATAAGTTAAGAGGTGCTAATATGAAGCAAGCAAAGGTCCAGAGTAAGAAATTACATGTTGCTATATGTAGCATTTCCCTGGTGGCTTTTTTCTAGCTAACTGAAAAGGAGATTGGGAGTAGAGGAACTACACAGGGTAGGATGTATTTACGCTTTTTCTACTTGCTTTTCACTTCTTGCAGTCAAGTTTCTACTGCTGTTTTCCCCACTGAATTCCAGATGGATTTTTGCTTTTTGCATATGAGTAGCCTTGGAGAATATAGGGAATCTTTGTGACATGTCTAGTTTTACCTTACTTAATTGCATAATCTTAAATACATAACTGATCAGTTAACAACCAGTTTACTAAATAAATAAATAAATAAATAAATAAATGCCCATAACCAAACACAGATTAAGAATAATCCAGTACATAAGAAAATCAAGACAACATATAACAAACTCACAGTACAAACAGACATGTTGGGCTCCTTTAACATCCTGATCCTAATGACCAGGGGGAAAATCAGGTCTTAATCTCAAGGGGGCACTCTTCTGTAAGCCGGGCACTGCAATAGAGAGGCAAGTCTCCTTGGTCCTGCAAGATGACACTGTTTAATGGAGGGGACCTGGAGCATGCCCACCTTTTTGGATCTGGTGGGAGAGGTAAAAACTCTCAGACATAGGGAGTCCTGCAAATAACCTGACCCTGTGCCATGCAGGCTTTAGAGTTGATAACCAGCATTTTGAATTGCCCTGAAAGCATGCTGGAAACTAGTGCAGCTAGTGTTATAGTACTAATGGCACATGTGTGAATTTTAGAGTGCCCAAAACTGCATGTGTCGCTGCATTTTGGATCAGCTGAAGCTACCAAGTATTCTTCAAGGGCAGTCCCATGTCGAGCACATTGCAGTAATCCAGTCAGGAAGTGACTATGGCATGAGTGAGAGTGAGCAGACCTCCTGGTCTAGGAATGGGCACAACTGGCACACAAGATGAAGCCATGCAAAGGCCCCCTGTCCACAGCTATCACTTGCTCTTTTGAGCATGAGCCATAAGTCCAGGGGGGTCCCCCAGATTGCACATCAACTTTTTCTGGGGGACTGCCAACCCCATCAAGAGTTAGATGAAAAACTACCAGATCCTGGGGGCCAAAACTTGAAAGCCACTCAGCCTTGCTAAGGTAGATTTGCAGTGTGTTCTCCTCTATCCAGACCCTCACAGTCACCAGGCACTGGAAAAGAACCATGACAGCATCGCTTGTACTAAAATGTTGAATACATTTTAGTAATAAATCCTTATTTAAGTTTTGGAAGAAAGCAGAACTTACACTCTTGAGAAATAGAGATATTTCCTATTTACTCTTCTTTAGAAATAGGAAGACTTTTGGTGCATATATAACTGAAGTTTTGATGCTATTTAAGTTCCCTGTGTTGTTAGTTTTTCTAACAACAGGGTTGTTTACTCAGTTTAAAATCTGTATTATTTGGAGAGTAAGCCTCAAAACTGACGTTCTTGTGTCATTGAAAGTAGTAGAATGGCAACAGATGAGCTACTAGTTACATTATGTAGTATGCCACTCTCTCTTTTTTTTTTTTAGAAAAATAAAATCCCAAAGATAAATATTAAGAAGAAAACAATTCAGTGGGAAGTTACCTCACTGTTTGTGGTGGTCCCAATCAAGACAGAGTCCTTAAAATGGATTTAAAGGAGAAGAAAAGAGGTCCATGTGTAAATTACATAATTTAATGTAATATATAATTTGATCCTGAGAAACACTCAGATCTGTTGTATCATTATTCCATTTTGCTCTGGGTTTTTTTTTTCTCTCCTTCCTTTACCATGTACTCTACGGAGCAGCTTTCCTGGCCTTGTAAACTCTGATCATCTTTCTTTTCTCTCTTGTGTTGAGAAGAAGTCTAAAGCTCTGAGAATTCAGATCTTGAAAATACAAGATAAAGTTGTCTTTGTCAGTGCTTATCTTTGAGCAAAGGTGAACAGGCTGAAGAGCTGTTTACTGGGAATGTTGTATGGAAACTGATTATCTGGGGTGATCAGTAGATTTAAATCCAAGTCTCCTAGAAAGGAATATAAGGGGGTAGGGGACTGGGAAATGGCCAGATAAAAATCGACTGAACATAGATGACAAACAAAACCTTTTAAGGATTACCGTCATTCATAGCTCATCCTGTCCTCAGGATAGAGTCTTAAAAAATTATACCTTGCTACAACACTTGTTTAAAATAGTCTGCAGTAAATAGCCTGATCAACTCAAATGTAAAGCTATATCAAAGAATCTTGTCCTTGGTTATCGCTTGTTCAAAATATTCTCTACTTCCAGTCTGTGTTTGCATACTGTATGGGATCACAAGAGTGATTATAACTTTAGGTTTAATGACTCTTTGGCTGACAAGATCAATCTCTGTGTTAAACTATAAAGCTTCTTGAGGCACATAGAGCCTGTGGATCTGTTTCCAGTGATATGAAGCCAATTGTTTTACTTTTTCTCCTTGTATTTTTGTTCTTATCTAACTTTGAGAATTAGATTGTAATAACTTATATTCCTGCATATAAAGAAGGGTTTTTTTTTAAATAATTCACATCTCATGCTAATATTTAATTTTTTCTCTGTCAAAATGAATAGTGTTTGGGATAAATTTCTTTGGAAAATAGTAAAATGAATACAGAAGTAAAAATCCTCTAGACATTTATAAGTAGCACCACTAAGAATATGAAAATTAAAATATGGAAAGCATATATCCTAGTACAGTGCCAATATCCCATCCAGATAATGAGAAGGCAAAATTTTAGCTAAGGGATGACTGTTGGACAGCCTAAAGCTTCCCAGCTTAGTATTGAGCACCCAACCACTAGTTAGGAAACTTGGTTATAGTTGAGCTTAACTCCTGGTCACTTCATGGACATTTCCATGTAGGTTGTTTTACAACAAATATGGCAGTAGTTACTATTGACTTATTTTGTGTCAATTTTTTTTATTCCCTAGTCTAACCTACAGGTTCTGGGATTTTCTAGTGGTTTCCCATACAAGTACTAACCAAGTCTGACTCTGTTTAGCTTCTTGAGGTCAGCCAAGGTTGACTGGGTGCTGTCAGTATAATACAATCACCTAAAAGTTCAGTGACAATTCCTAGAACCCACTTCATAATAAAATTGAAATATAAAAAAATTGCACAAACTTCTGGGATATTTGGAGAGTTAAGTAGCAAATGTTTAATTGGTAAATACCCAGTACAAATAACTGAAGTTGGATGCTAGGAGAATTGATTATTCAGAGGGGCACTTAATGTGTTAAAAAAGCAATTCTGCTAACAGGGCATAAAACCCAAGAAAGCCTGCCTACAATAGATGAATGAATCTGGCAGATTAAAAGGAGATAGCCAAACAAGGATGTTACAGATTTTCTATAGGCAAGACTGGAAGACTTAATGGGGTCCCCCAACCAACTTTTTAGACTGAAGAAGGACAAGTAGCGAAACGTCTCTAACCAAAAAGAAAAGAAGTCCAGTTGCCATGACTCAACCTGCAGACGATTCCACCTGGGTGACTGAGAATCTTCATAACCATATCTATCTAAGGTTGTAGCACTGAATAGCATTCTAAGGTGCAATAGGAAGGTGTTTGTATCCAACCATTCTCCGCATTCATTATTTTGTAAAGAGAATATGAACCCTCTGGTGGGTGCTCTCCTCAAAGCCATCCCACGGCTCTAGTTCACTTATGTATCTAACACTGGGGTTAAGAAATACAATACTTGGTAGCCAACACTATATCAAGAAGTGACTGTTGCTAGGAATTCTGTTTCTGAATCCTTAGCTCTCTTTTTTCCATGAAGACAAACTGGTGATTCACATCTTCTCTAAGGTGAATTCATTTCTCTCCTGGGCCAAAGAAATCAAGTTCAATGGCATCTTTATGGCCATCAAGCCCTGATCAGGGAATACTATAGATTTGAAAATCACTACTTCCAGGTGGATAAAGATTGCAATGTTTTTAATTATGAGACCCTAGCCAACAAAGCCTACTCTAAGTAAGGCATCCAAGCAGTGATATATATTGTGGATCAGCAGTCTTCTGGGTAGTTCTGCAAGGGATACGTATCTATCACTTTTCTGGCATTTGGGAGGAGACAATAAAGAAATTAGAAAAGTTCTATCGAGAAGAGAAAGAATTGGAGACTACTTGCATTCTCCCTTTCTTACATGATTCTTGAGCAATCACTCACCTGCCGTTTAAATCAGTGTTCTGGGGAAAATAATGCATTAGTATATCAAGGGACAGCCGCCCATTTGGAATGTTGCAAACATGGTGTACTTGCTCTTGTAACATGGCTGCTGTGGAGAATTGTCCATTGACAAAATGATTGCTATTGGGGATATAATTAGTTTTAAAGCACTGATCATCAGAATGCTGCCTGCTAGCACCTCTAACCCCACACCTGCAGGACACTCCCTACTACCTCTGCTTTCCTGTACTTTGCCCAGGCAGGTAAGCATTCTTTCCAAACAAACCATGGCCCATCTATGTGAGCACCAGAGTTATTCTTGGAAATAAAGATAATGGTATAGGCTAGCACTTTGCTTCACAACATGACTTGTTCCCAGTTTTTAAGTTAACTCTTTTTTTCAAAAATATGTATAAACTCAAGTAGGGCAGGAAGTCTTACTATCTTCAGGAGAGGCATTTGGAGCTATTTTGATGTCTGTAGATGCCAGATTGGGGACTTCCATCATGAGAAAGTTAATAAAGGTAGTATGATAGTTGATAAATGTAGTAGTATACTTCTACATAAGTTCTGAAAGTTAATAAATGTGGTAGCCTACATAAGTTCTAAAATTGTTTGAGCATTATATAAATACATACTATACATTAATACGTATACGTATTAATAGTACATATAGTACGTATATAAATATGTACTATACATTAAGAGAGGATTACTTGGGGATATATCGTGGACTCAATTTAGGATCTAATGCTAGAACTGGAGGGCTGTCCCTGGTGCATACGTGGGGAGGTAAGAAATTGAGAGAGAGAGAGAGAGAGAGATTTTATGTGCAGATTCTCATTGTTTTATGATTACTGTTTGGCCAGATGACCTTTTTATCCAGGCTCTCTAAATCATAGTCTTAAATTAAGATAAGCACTTCAGAGTGAAGAATCTGATATAAAAATATTTGTTTGCTGAACATTTTTAGGATTTCTGCTGTTATTCTGGAGTTTCTGAGCACTTTTATCAGATTGAACCATGTGCCTTGATAGATATTTGAGTATGACTCAACATTGGACTTCAGCAGCTATTTCCAGAATATATCCATCTGCTCCACTAATGTCTATGATTTCCTACTTTCTGTGTGTGTCTGTTAGGTTTTAAATGAAGCTGTCGGAGCAATGATGTACCACACTATCACTCTCACCCGGGAGGACCTAGAGAAGTTCAAGGCCTTACGAGTCATTGTTCGGATAGGCAGCGGTTATGACAACATTGACATCAAAGCTGCAGGGGAGCTTGGTACGTTTAGATGCCACTCCTGTAGATCCTCTCTTTAAAATGTTGCTTGTTCTTAAAAGTAAAATAAATTACTTAATTGTCTCAGGAACCTCTTTATAGGCTTGTTTTTCATGGGAGCGGCTTAGATACAATTCTAACATATGATAAAGTATTTTCATGTTATTTGACATGACTATTGATTCATAGTCAACATGGGATCTCTAGTACAGGTAAGGTACGTGTTGTAAGTTAAATGAACCTATCTATGGAATCCTGATGTGGAAATGACACTCTCCTGGTATGGAGATTGCTCCATACTTTTTTGTTAGAGTACTATACTTTCAGAAGCAGTGAGGGAAAGTGATGTTGCCTGTTGCACACATGAATAATCTTCAGTGGTTAGGAAGATAGAAACAGATAACGATATTCTGTGCTTCTGTATCTCCATATTCATAAAAATTCTGTAGGCATTGGATTCAATACTAGTACTTCAAGAAAAGTTTATGAAATGCTAGTAGAAGAAATGAAGATTTGGCTTCAACAATGTTTAGCCAGCTTTTCCCAACATATTTTCCAGACAAGCTGGTATTGCAGCTCCCAGAATTCCCAGGCACATTTTGCCACATCTAATAGGCATCAGATTGAGGAATTCTAGGTCATAATGAAGCACAGAAAACAAGCCTAGGTTAGCTCTTGGGCATATGTGTTTGACCCTCTTCCTCCAAAACAGTATGTGAAGGATAGTGTCTATTTTTGATTAACAGTGCCTTAGTACAGTTTTGAATATAAGAAACTATTTAATTTCAACTGTGATTATGGGAAACAAGCTAACTTCAAACTATGGTTTATAAGTTGGTTTATTGAGATTAACCCCAGAGAACAATCTGAACCAAAAACTTTGCATCTCTTCATGTCCATTTCAGAGCACACAGACAAATATGTAAATTCATGGCTTTTTGCAACTCATCCATAAAATACTAAAATATTATTTAATAATACGTACAGACTGTTTTGACTTCATGCAGAGGATGCAGCTCTATGTCTCTGGATCCAGCTGCTATTCCTATTAATGCTGCTTAACTGGACCCTGTATTTCTTCCAGAACATAATACCATGGTAGTTATTTTCTATTAGTGTTATAAATTGTATAAGTTCTATTGCCTATTCCATTAAAAAATTATAAATGGCCCATATTCCTAAAGTTGGTAACTTCCAGATATGTGCAAATAATGGAAGCACCAAGTTTGGGAAAACTGGTATTAATTTCATGACAGATATTACTTATTATTTAAAAAGTCATATTAAACACAGTTAAGAGTTTGCTTCTGGAGGTTTTGTTTGTTTGATATGGATAATGCATTCACACTTATTCTTACAAATCTAGAATTTTATACCCAATAAATGTATTTTTCAGGAGAGACAAAATGTTTGGGATGTTATGGATTGTTCCAGGATAAAATCCTTATATGAGCTGATGGTAACACTCGCTAAAGTACAATCACCCAGTGGGACCTTACCTGCCTTCTAAACATAAGTAGCTAAAGTTGGATTTTTGATCTGGTGATCTTGTGATAGCTTTGCATTATCTCAGCTCTGTCTTCCATTTGGATTAATTGAAATGCAGATAATCATTTGCCATACCAGTTTTAAATAACGAGAGTTAATCTTTAGCCCCAAGGGAATATTAAGGCAAGGGTCAACCTCTTTGGTTCCTAGACTAGCCTCCTTTTATTACAGTTCTGCTCTTTAAACATTAGTTGGATTATTCTCTATCCCTGACATCCACAGGGGACAAATGGCCGGAATGTTTGTATTAGCAAAATTCTCAGTGTCAATTATATTTGAAAGTGCCTTTCCACATAATGCTCAAGATAGTGTAGACCAAAACTAATTAACTGTAATGATATAAAGATCAACTCTAGTATAATTAATGCAAAATCTCTTTCAATTTAAAAAAAAAAACTTAATTCTAGTTATATACCTTAATTCCATGCATATTCTGGAAACTGTTGGGTTCATATTCTATTATGTATTCCCAGCAGGAAGAAAACTTACGATATTGCTATTATTGTTAAATTTAGACTCTTATTAGTTGCATTGCAGGCCAGAGATCTTGGGTCTCATAATAAATAATCCACCAACCTTCTATCTGCATAGAAGCCTAGAGTTGGAAACATGGTAACTGTAGCAAGCCACAGTGACATCAAAATAATGACACGTCTCTCGTGACATTATTGTGGCAATGATGTAGTTGCATCAGTCAAATCATGATTTCTGACACAAGTACATAAAATTTCATCATTTGTATGATAACATCATGACACACAAGTTGTCATCCCCCAATCTGACGATGGATTTCTGTGGTTGGAAGATGGCATTGAATCCAATCCCCTGATCAGTTCAGGAATTCAAGTATCCTTGACAAACAGTAACACACATATTATTTTCCTGAAAGATAGTAGTAACTTTAATTGATAATATTGGGGTAACGTTTCTCTCTTCACTTTGATGGCATTCCTACTCTTGCCTTTAGTTCTTCTGGGACTCGGTGATTTCTGAGGAGCTTATGTAAGGGCTACCTTTCGTAGTATAGTTTCCAGGGAAAGTCCTTTTGAAGTGCTATCCAACAGGCTAATCTGTTAGCAGATGCTAACCTTCTCTACCATGGACTACAAGTTCCATGATTCTCCAACATGGCTGTGCTGCCTTGGAGCTACCTATCTTTTTACATGGATTGGCATGTATGTGTTTGTCTCTGTATTATAATAAATTGCCAGGTGGAATGTTTAGAGCTGCATAGAAACAGAGTCCTATTTATCTTAGATCTTATTGAGCCCAAAGGTTGCATACCACATCAGTAGTCTTCATCAAGAGAATGCCCCAAGTAGCTTCCATGTGGAAGTGATTTGGGAATAATCCTGAAGCACCACCAGTACAATGAAGCCTTAATTTTTCATAAATAACTACAATATAACCATACAAAAATATCCTACAGGCTATTCCCTGTGAAAAGGCTTATTTATGATGAACTTAATATTTGGAAAGTATTTTAAAGAACTAATTTATTAAGAGTAAAGCATGTAGGCATTTGTTCCCTTGGTTTCGCATTTCTTTGCAGCAAAGTCTCTTATTGCCTGACAAATATAAACAACTAATGATGTTATCCTTAACTAGATTTAAGAATTATAACATATTGGCCATTTCTGTTTGCTGCTATAATAGTTCTGAGCTATTTGCAAGCAGGACTGTTAATTGTTTTACCACTAATGAGTTCCATAACATTAGCGTATAAAATAAAATTGATCTTTATAGGATGCCAACTGTGTCTGTCTGTCGATAGGGTGTCATTAAAAAGATTAATTGATTCAAAGTATTCCATTGTAAATCTTAATAAAACTAAAGAAACACATATTTTTTGTAGCTGTCATTCTAAACAAGAGTCTTTGTGGTGTCATTTACATAAATACGTTCAGACTTGCCTGTAACTCCTCACTGTTTCTTTCTAGCATCATTTGGCTGTCAGATTATTTTTAGGGAATTTTCAAAGAAGTAATTTATCATCTACATTTGAAGATTTCCTTTGAAGATTCTTTTCTTTTATTGCCTCAGAAGACCAACACTTAAATAATCTGCTGAAGTTTTAAAGGCCTTAATATACACAAACATATTTTTCTAACTGCCATATCCTCTAAAGACATCCATAACTCTCTGCCCTATAGCATGGCCACATTAAAGCAGAAAAACTACTGCTGACATCAGAAGCTCTTGGATCTTGTAGGCCAACCTTCTCCATTCTGGTACCCTCTAGATATATTGGACTGTAATTTCCCTAGCTAGTATTCAATTGTAGTTCACTACATCAAGAAGACACCAGGCTGTAGGGGACTATTGTAGACATTCAAGGCTTGAGTTAAAACTCGTTCTTCCTCTTGGTACATTACACGTGACTGACTTTCAGCATCTGTTTACGGTAAGACATTGATTGGATCACTTCATCTTATTTTCTTCCATATTTTTTCTCCCTATGTAGTATGAACACGACTTAAGATTATATGGGGAAAAAATTGTTGTCTGGGAAGGAGCAAAGTGCCTTAGTTCACCAAGCTTTGCCATATAGAAATAGACATCTAATGTGTTAGTGAGTAGGTTACAGTCTGAGAAGAGGGCTGATGGAACTTTGATTGAAATCTCTGCATCACCAGGAATCTCACCTCATAGACTTCCACCAAACCTTTGTTCTCAATATAATCTGTCTATAGCCTTGCATGAGTATTTGGGAGGTGCGTGTAGGATATTTATGCTATTATCTTTGGAGGAAAGTGAGGAAAAATTAATTCCTCTATGCCCATTATCTAAGATGAGTTTAAGAGACAGAAATCTGTGGATAAGGTTAAGATGAGTTTTGCTTTCAAAGCATGCAAACAGATGGTGCTGCTACCATCCTGGAGCGACTGGAGAATAAGAAGAAGCTAATTTTGCTGAACTCTTCTCCTTACTCTGGTATCCTACCGTCAAAAGAATCAATCCTATGCTGAGTGAACATTGCCACGCTTTATCAAAGCTGCTTATTACTTAACCCTATTATGTTACATCATTTAGCTTAGGCATTACCATGTGAAAGCAGGCCATCCCACGAAGACAAATCATCTTCCTGCGGGTATGCAAGGCAAGGATGAAAATAAGTCTTGGGGGGAATGTTAGGATAAAATCAAAAGCATGAATTATTGAGCATGGCAGTATTTCTAAATGGCAGTATTTCTAAATGAGGACCAGAGACTTTTCATAGCATTCACACATCTCAAGAAGGGATTCCAGTTATGGTTTGTCAAAACTGCATGGGATCAGAGGAAGGGCAGTGAGAAAAAAATTATACATCAGGATTTTGCACTGGTCTCACTACTGCTGTTCAGATGGATAAGTTGACATGTTAGGCAGCGGAGGTGAGATCTGGAGCTCCTGCTGACTGGCTGCAGCACACTCAGGCCCATCTATACAGGCAGCGTAGACAAGCAGTTTTCCTCAGCTCTGCCAGACGAGGACTGGAGTCGATCTGTAAGATGGGTTGTCCTCAATACAAAGGGGTGTAAGTGAGGATTCCCCACCTCATGATACTTTCAGAAAAATAAATTGCATTCTTTGTTTCCGTTTCTGCAATTAACAGCATTACAATTTGATTCTGCATAGTCATATTGAAGATGAATGCTATCTAACAGAAGAAGGAGCCAAGGAGTCTTTGTGAAACGTTTTCTTTTTTCCCTTTGGATGTTATTCATAAGCCATGTAATTTATTTTACTTATTATTAAATTTATATTCCACCTTTATTTTGTATAGGCAGCATACATAAGGCTCCCACCTCCTATTTTCCCCACAACAACCCTGTGAAGTGGGATGGGCTGAGAGAGAGACTAACTAGCCCAAGGTCACCTAGCCAGCTTCTGTGCCTAATGGAGGACTAGAACTCACAAACTCCAGGTTTCTAATCCAACACTTTAACTATTATACCAGTGTGTAATCCTATGATAATTCCATGGTCCATAATGTTGTTCTGATGTCAGAAGGGCCATCAGCTTCAGAACTGTGGAAATGTTTAGACAAGGCACATGCAAATTGTATTTCAGAACCCACATGTCAGGTTCACCTTGAAGAGAAGCCATAATTTAGGGCCTAGAACACACATAATATATCACTAAGACAAGATGACAATGGTTGGCAAGAAAATCACTGCCAATAATAGTCTGACTTGCAATTTGCTATGTTTTCTACCTAAGTCAAAATGGAAAACCAGCAATGGAACTGAAATTGATTCCTTTTCATGTGCATGGAACTTATTAGTTCTGTACTAGTGGTGGTGCTCAAATCCCTCATTAGAACCCTGGATGTTTTAATACACTTATAGCAACACAGGTCTGGAATGAAAACTTTTGATCATTGGTGTTACTAATTGTCACAAGAGATGCTATATTTAATCCAGTTTAGTACTATTGCAAAATGTTTTCTTCTCCAGGAAACAGAAAGTAGTTTATTTAGAAGCAAACTCTGTGATTTTGTGAGTTTTCTTCTTCACTAAAAATTGGGTTTCTGCCCCATACTCCAGGGATTGCTGTTTGCAACATCCCCTCTGCAGCAGTTGAAGAAACGGCCGATTCCACCCTGTGTCACGTCCTGAATCTCTACAGGCGGAACACTTGGCTTTACCAAGCTCTGAGAGAAGGAACCCGAGTACAGAGTGTAGAACAGATACGGGAAGTGGCTTCCGGAGCAGCCCGTATTAGAGGCGAAACACTTGGTCTGATTGGATTTGGTACGTTGGAACTTTCTGGAGGGAAATAAACAAAAAACAGTTGGCTTGTTCAAAATGTATATCATAGGGGCCAAATCTTGCAAGGAGATTTCTATATGGATTCTGCCACCAGATGTACTGCTGCATCATTATTTGAGGAAGATGATGTTTTGAGCAGAAGCCTAACCATGAGTGCAGAGGGAAGGCTTAGTGTAACCTGGAGCAGGGAGTCTGCTCCCAACAGCCAGCTCCTTTCCTAGATGCCAGTGGTGAGGGATCTAGGGAGTTGTAATTCAACAGTGTTTTGAGAACTACAGTTCTTCACCTCTGATCTGCACCATTCACTGGATTCAGCTTTTCCTAGCAATGGCTCCTATTAGCACAAAGTAAACATGAGGGACCTTCTCATGAGAAGCCTGTTTGTAGCTCATGATTTCAAAGCTCCCTGTGCTTGGAAGAAGGAGGGATGGAGCCCCAGTCTCTAAAGGAAACAACTTTCGGCCCCCTTTGAGTTGGTCTCCTATTCTTTAATTGTATGCTTGGAGTCTCTCACTTTGACCATCTATCCCTGCGGTGTGCTTTATCCCTGTATGTGCTCAGAATAAATTAAGCAAGTTAATAGTCAATTGCAGCTTGCATCTCAGGATACAAATTTTTTTTTTAAGGTTTTTCCTCCTCACCAGGCACTGAAGTGCACATTATCCTGTGGCTATTAATGAGTAATGGCAATCAAAGATGGGTGTGTCTGCATTTCCATCTGTGCCTAAATACAGCATATAAGAACAGGGAGTTTTTCCTCTAGTCACTTCCATGGAACTCTGTTACTTTATTCTGAGACCCATTTTTGCATTCTTAGGCCTGGTTCTCTGCCTTTCTCTACATTAAAAAAGAATCCCATCTTGATGTAGAACTTAGTTGAAACCAGCAATGACATTGAATTGGAATGACATTGTGGATAATGACCTGCTGATTGCATTGCAGCTGTCCCTCTTTATCAGAAGAGCCTTATTAAACCTTTGCTTCCAAACCATGACAGTTGTCTTAGTCATGCCCAATTAAATAGCCATTCAGCAAGAGTGCAGAAGGAAGGGGGGGAGAGGGGGAGAAAAAACCCTACAGCAAACAAGTTGCTCTTCTAATAAATAAGGCTCAGAGGGGGGTTGTCATTCTACAGTTGTACCAAAGTCATTTGTAATAAGAGTTCCTTAACATGTTTTCCTGTTGGTGATCAGAATTGAGAAGCCATACAGAGCTCAGAGTGTGGCTGGACACGCAGCATGGTTTTGGTTTGGTTTGTTTTTTAACTATTTTGGGTGCTTCAGATTCCATTTTGGTGCTTTGTATTACTTGCAATGAGAGGCAGTTCCCTGGGATCTCTGCCTCTTTCCTTTCCCCATCCTCCAATTTGAGAATTTGGCATCAAACCACTGATTATTGCACCATGCTCTCTGTTAAAGCTGGGGCATACTTCTCCATGCACATAGCAATGTCTATTCAAATTAATTGCTTCTGAAATGCAGTGGCAAATATTTAATGGACCTTTTTGAAAAATGCCATAGCTGCCTATATTCTAAAGGCAGATTCTAGAAATGCCCTTGTACACGCTGCATTACACGGTCCATGTTTGACCTTCAGTGAAGACAGCCAAGACAATTTATCTCTTGGAGATTTAAGTTCTACCAGCAGGAAGGGAGGGAAAGAAGATAAAGAAGTCTTTTCTAAGCATGTAAAAATATTGACACTTCTTTATTGTGGAATAAATTGGCCATTGGCGTTAAAATTCACCCTTCCTTATTATAGTTTAGGAAGGGGCTTAAAACGTCCATTTTTATCCAGGCCCTTTTAGCCTTTTAAAAGTGTTAAAAGTTCACTTTTAATGTTAAGAATATATTTTTAGAAGCTGCCTAAAGCTATTGGAATGGGCAATTTATAAATTATAAATAAATAAATGTGTTTAATTATTAAATAATTAAATAAATTAAATAATTCTCTGTAGCATAAATGCTTTTGTCATGATAGGAAAATGCATTCGGCAGCCAGTTGTTCCAGTCTATAGATAAGAGTGCTGGTACATTGTCAAGTCTATTACTACAATTCTCTGATTTGTGTGTGTCTGTGTCTGTGTCTGTGTGTGGCTTCTTGTTTATTTGTCTTTTTGGCTTAGGTCGCACTGCGCAAGCAGTAGCTGTTCGAGCCAAAGCATTTGGATTCAATGTGATCTTTTATGACCCATACCTGCAAGATGGCATAGAAAGGTCCCTGGGGGTCCAGCGAGTCTACACACTCCAGGATCTGTTGTACCAGAGTGACTGCGTATCATTACACTGTAACCTCAATGAACACAATCATCACCTGATCAATGATTTTACGATTAAGCAGGTAAATCTAAGTGGAGGAGAAGGAGGGAATTCTGTTGCTTTAAATGGAATCTAGGACCTTGTGTCTTTTGAGTGCTTGTACTCCTCTTGGCACTGAGGGTACCAAGCAGAGGCAAATAGGAATTGTATGCATTTTTATCCTTGGGGTAGCTGAGGTTTTATTTGTTTGTTTATATGAATTAGAGGCCACCCGACTCCTGATGACTCTGGGTGGCTAGACTTTAAAAAATAAGAAATAATAAAATAGAAAAACAGGTCATGGACATCCAAAAGTTTCAAAGAAGTACACAAAGAAACCTACAAGGGCTCAGTAATCACCCTACCCCAAGCCCTAGGAGAATAGCCAGGTTTTCAAAGACTTCCAGAACATCATCAGGTTGGGAGCCAGACCATCCTCTGGGGGGATGACACAGTAGAGAAGGAATGCTTCCTAGGTCCTGATAGATGCTGGGGCATACACACTCTGCCTGATCTTACTAGATCGCAGGTATGTGGTCCCTCAAATAACCATCCCCTTGAACTGTATCTGGGAGCCACCTGGCAATCAGTACAGCTCGCAGAGCAGCAGTATCAGATGGGTATAGTATGGCGTGACCATGCTGCAGCATCCTGGACCATCTGTAGCTTCTGGGTGATCTTCAAGCACAGCCTAAGGCAGAGTGTGTTGCAAAAATTCAGTCATGAAGTGACTAGGATATGAATGGCTGTTTGAAGAGCTTCCTGATCTAGGAACAGGCTCAGCCACAACACTAGATGAATCTGTTCAAAGGTTTTCTTGGCCACAGCTGCTGCCTGCTCTTTGAGCAGGAGCTATGAATCCAAGAAGATTCTGGAATTGCTCACTGGTCTTGAATAATAGAGTGCTGCTATTTCCAAGACTAAAAATGGAAATTTTCCAGAGTGAGGGGCCCAAATACCTGCTTGATTTTGTCAAGATTGAGTCTGACTCTGTTCCGCCCATCCAGATCTGTAAAGTCTTCAGACACTGGGACAGGACAACATTACTTGGCTGGTCTGGAGTTGGGATATAATTGGGTATCATCAGTATGCTAACTATGTCAAACCCTGAATTGTCAGATTACCTAACAGCAGTTTCATGTAGATGTTAAACAGAGGAGTGAGAGAGCCAAGCCCTGAGGCATCTCACAAATGGGAGGCCATGGACTTGACCTCCCCCTCATCAGCACCAACTGGAACAGACCACAGACGAAGGAGGAGATCTACTGTAATATGGTTCCCCACTTCCAGCCTCTGCAGCTGGTCCAGAAAAATACTGTGATAGATGGCATTGAAATCTACTGAGAGATCAAGGAGCACAAGGATGGATACGCCACCCAATCCCATATGCCAAAGGTCTTCAACATGCACAACCAATCCTGTCTTCATACTGTAAACTGATTTTCCACTTGCCTTCTGCACATTCTTCTGCCTTGTTAACAGACTGATTTAAACTCAAAAGTAAATTAGAGATTCCATAACACTGCAGCATGTAACAAGACACAACTCCTTACATCAGTGATCTTTCAAAAACCTTTGAGTAACTATGCTGGTTATTAATAAGTAATTGAAGGAGTCTTCTGTTCATGTTCTATCTATATCAGCCTCTTCTCTTCTTGGAATAATGTTCTTAATTTAGGAGGTTGCAGCATGTCATAAAATGAATCCTGAAAATGTCTAGCCCTCTTTCCAAACATGTTCAGAGCAGAAGGAGGTTAGATGACCAATAAAAAAAAGGTCATTAAATTTTTCTCAGATTGGAATCTCAGCCAATTACTGTTCTTTCCTCCTTAGTTTAGTCATAGATCTTGGGAAAATCTTCTAAACTCAGTTAAGTTCTCTTTTAAGGCTACACAGATCTAATTCAATCCTGTTGTTTTCATCAAGTGCTGCTTTGATTTTGAGGTTTTCTTAATTACCTCGGCTTGGTGCAAGGAACACATGAATAGTAAATAGGTATTTAGCTAACATTTGTAGTGTAGCATAGAGTAACCTAGGAAAGCACCTTGGGGACACAAGGTACTTTTGTAAAAAGGTAATATTTCTGGGGAGAGGACAACCAATCATTGTAAGCTTATTTACCACAGCAAAAGGTTCAGAAATTTTATTGCAATGTATTGAGGTTGAAAGCCAAGAGAATTCATGGAATTCTCATGGAATTTTAGAACTTTCTGTATAAATGCTGTGATCTTTCTAAAGGTAATTCATAGATCAAACCTGATCATTGTTTACTTAATTATTACCCAATCACATCTGAAGGCTGTGATTATTATTGTCCCTAGAGCAGCCTTCAGATGTGATTGGGTAATAATTCCCATTTTCCCTACTTATTTATTTATTTATGAAATTTATAGTCCACCCCAATCTGCTGTAACTTTGGGCAGTTTACAAAGTACAACAGTAAAAACACAAAATATATAATCAAAAACTTTGGAAAAAAACAACAATCGTTTGAAAAAAAACAGAACATCACACAAAGGGTCCATCATTCACTGTAACCCAGAGATTGGGCATAGAGCCAGGTTTTAAGGGCTCATTTAAGTAGGGCTGGGTTGGGGGCCATATGAATCTTGGGGGCAATCTCAGCTATTAGTGTAGCCATATATATTTATTTTATTAGATTTATATGCCATCCTTCATTCAGGAGCTCAAGACGATGAACGTAAAGCACCTTCTAGTTTTTTCCTCACAGCAAGGCGAGTGACTGGCCCAAAGTCATTTAGTGAACCTCTGTGACTGAGGATGAACTAGAAGCTGGGTCTCCCTGTTCCTGGCCCAGCACCAGCACCATTACACTACACTGGCTCCATCGTACCCCAGAAGGCTGTTCTAGAGCACCTGCCAGTCCTCACAGCATTTGTTTGCCTCCAGTGCAATGACACACTTTGTGCCATTGTATTGATGATCTATTCCCATCTTAAAAATAAAGGAAGAGCTCAAGCTGGTTCTGTAAACAAGCTGAAAGTCTATTCTTGAGTGAGAAGAAGAAGAAGATGCATGACATACCATGGCCCAGAGGAAGACTTAAGAATAAAAATACATCAGTCTTCAAAAAGTAAATTACAGTTGTCCGGCATCTATTTATACACACCATCCCCTTCATTTTCTGGTCCTGAGTTGTTTCAGAACAGATTCTACCATGGGAGTGGATATTAATGCTGCTATAGTGTGAGAAACCCAGAGAAAAATCTGTAAACTAAAGTGTTGGAATAGACTTTTCTTTTTTCTCCTCTCTTCTCAGATGAGGCAGGGAGCATTTTTGGTAAACACAGCCCGTGGTGGTCTGGTGGATGAAAAGGCCTTAACCCAAGCTCTGAAGGAAGGGAGGATACGAGGGGCAGCACTGGATGTCCACGAATCAGAACCATTTAGGTAAGTATTAGAACACTTCATGTTGTAGCCCGCATGATCTGGGCAGCACTTGGAGGGTTGAGGCTACAACCATGCCTTCAGAACTTTGGAACACCTCAGGAGGCCACTGGTAGGTGCTTTGATATCAGCAGAAGGTGGATAGCTGAATTTTTAACTAAATGTTTTTGGGAAGATACTTTTGGGAAGATACTTCAAGGGAGATGATGGGAACAGTTTGCATCCTGGAAGCCACCTAACCATATACCCACCTTAACTCTTTCTTTGCAGAAAAAAGAAAAGAAAAAGGAGACCATCAAAATCTCAGGGTGCTGGGACAGGGGAATATAACCTCTGGGTTCCTGTCCCCTGCTCTAAGCAAATCCTATCCATGTAATCTTGAAATGCCATATAGATAGACAGAAAGACAGTGGCATTGTCCATAGTAAGACAGAGAAGCATTGATAAATCCAGCCATAGAAAATGGTTAGACTTTCAGAAATAAAACGTCTTAAAGATTTTAGAAACCTGCTGAAAAGTTTTAAAGATCAATGTGAGCCTGTTGTTACTGAGCTGCAAAAACTGGGGTCATAACTGGCTTTGTTAATGGACTTAGTAACTGTGAAAGTTATATTTCTGTAACAGAAGTGGTAGACCTAATAGTGTCTCCTGAATTCTTCAGGATTTTCTGTGAGGAATCTATTTTAGTTGCTTTCAGCAAAAACAAAAAGTGTTATGTTCCTTTAAGCAGGACACATGTATTATGGCATAAGCTTGCATTTTTAAGTGAAAAGTGACCCTCTCTACTAGAATTGCAGCTCCTTCCAAGCAGGAAAACAAGTAGTCATCAGTGGCAAAAGGTCAGTGATTTGTGACTCCCCAGGAACAAAGATATCACTTCTGCATGGAATCTGGCCATCTGCTTAGTTAGGCTCCTGTGAGGTATTGGATTCAGGTCCATTAAAAAATATGGTTATTGAAAGAACCATATTTTCTTGCAATCCACATGCTATTACTTACAATGAAATACATGTAATGCTGCTACAAGAAAGATGCAGGTCTAAGTGTTGCCATAAGCCTATGAATTATATACGACACTCTAGACTGAAAATATAAAAAGTATTACGGCTAAGGGCTTCACATATTGTGTGGATAAGGGCATTAAATTGTAGAAAGCTGGAGGAAGCCTTTCCCTCCCACCCTTCAAATAAAATGTTTTGAAGTTGTCCAGAGTTTGATGATATTTCATCAGCCCAACCATCTTGAGGATCTGCTCCTGTTCCTTCTACTCATTCTGATATGTAGTTTCATATTTTAGGACAAACAAAACAAGCATTGTGTAAAACCATAATAGTATTAGCAGCGAAACAAAAGCAATCCAACATCAAGAATTCCTAGAAGTAACTCAAAGGAAGCCAATAATAGGTTTTATCAAGCACTGGTCATAGAGAAAAAGATTGCAGTGGAGCTAAGAATCACCTAATTAAGTCCCATGCAAACATGGTTGCTGATCAAATAGATGTCCCTGCTGATGTCAGCTTTTCAAGTAGCAGACACACACATTTCTCTTGGTAGATGAGCAGCCATTACATTGAATGAATGAATGAATGAATGAATGAATGAATGAATGAATGAATGAATGAATG